TTTATTCAAAAATCTATTTTCTTTATTGAAATATCAGTCTAAAAAATATTTAAATTTAATCAATCATGATTTAATTTAATCATAAATTTCAAAATTCGCCAAAATGAAACTTTCCATGTTTCGATTCAACCCTAGGGGCAACCTATGGAAATAAAGAGTTTACGAGATGTACACTAATTTTGCGGGATTTACGTATCATGTTGAAATCTTTTATAAAGGTTTATTACAGTGGTAACACACGGCCGGGTTCATCGGGCCCTTGTTGGTATTATAGCTGCCGTAGGTTTATGTCATTTTTATGAAGTTTTCTAGTCTTCTTTGTGTTGTAAACCCTATTACTTTACAACCTTTATATTTCTCTTGGTTTCTTTTTCAGATTAAATAGAGTAGTCTAGTTGTCTAGTTGTTTATTTTTTTATCCTTCCAGTTGTGCAGTTGTCGATTTGTCTATTTGTTTATTTTTCTATTTGTTTATTCTTCCAGTTGTCTAGTTGTCTGGTTGTCTAGTTGTTTAGTTGTATAGTTGTCTTGTTGTAAAGTTGTCTATTTGTCTAACTGTCTAGTTGTTTAATCGTCAAGCTGTTTAGTTGACTAGCTGTCTAGCTGTTTAATTGTCTAGTTGTCTAGCTATCAAGTAGTCTAGTTTTCTAGTTGTCTAGTTTTCTAGTTGTCTAGCTGTCTAGCTGTCCAATAGGCTATTTGTCTAGATGTTTAACTGTCTAGTTGTCTAGTTGCCTAGTTTTCTATTAGTCTAGCTGTTAAGCTGTCTAGTTTTCGAGATTTCCAGCTGGCTATTTGTCTAGCTGTCTAGTTGTCTAAAGTAAATGCCCTACTCCTAAAGCTGCTTTCAGACCCTTATCAATCCAGGTGGTACAACTCAATCAGGAACTAAAGGTTTACATGAATACCAGAGCCAATATCAACCCGGATACGGCTCAGTCTGTATTCTCAGATAGCTGTCCTACAGATACAACTCAATCATGAACTCAAGGTTCACACGAATACTATAGCCAAAATCAATCCAGATACAACTTAGTATGTATTCTCAGGTATCTGTCCTACAGATACAACTCGATCAAGAAATCAAGGTTCACACAAATACTAAAGTCAATATCAATCCGGATACAACTCAGTCTGTATTCTCAGGTATCTGTAGTCAATTTATATCCCAATCTATATCTATCATTCACGAAAGTGATTAAAGACACTTTTTGTTCACTTACCAAGAAACAATTACTCTTACACGGTAATCACAGTGGAGATTTATCGCAACTAAATGTATTTGTTAACACAAATTCTAAATATAAGGATGACGATTGTACCGACTCAAATGCCGATGACTATTTTCAAGACGTGTGAATCTGTTTCCTTAGGTTTGCCCACATGTCACCCTCACTTCTTCGTCCCCCCCCCACCCCTCTACACATCCCAGCCCCAGCAGTCAGAATGAAACACCGGAGATGATCACAACTCCGTCTCAGGGAGCAACCCTGGCTCCTTCATTGTGATGATGCAGATACCTAACTATCAACAGACGATGCTTACATCCAGCTCAATATTGTTCCAAGAGTTCCAAAATTATCAGGCGAACATTGAGACGCATTCCCTCATATTAGAAACTGATAAAACCGCGATCTCTTCCCCTCCTTATCCAAATCCTGGGGTGAGCGGAAACCTGTTGTTCCAGTTCCCGATGATCTGCACCACCATCATGAAGCTCCACAAATATGTTCCAACTGGTGTTCGTCAATAGTTTTCTTTGTTCATCTTTTAACCAACCAATTTTAACCCATTCTTGGGAACCTATTTCAAAACTTTCGTTTTTTTAAAATAAATGTTAGAAATATCCATTTGGATCTCTTTATTTTCTAATAGTGACTTTTAAAGTCAACAGTATTTTGGGTAATCAAAAGTTATTTTAATCAATGTAATCAAAAGTTCTACGTCGTTATATACAAAAGTGATAAAGTTACAGGTTGTTCGTATTTACATACAGCGTAGTTAAATCATATTACGTAGTTATTTACAGTTCAGTTAAGATAATTAATAATGTACAACGTAGTTCAGGTTAACAGACATATGGTTATGCGATATTTTTTACATGTTCAGTTGTCTAGCTGACTAGTTTTCTAGTTTTCTAGTTGTCTAGTTGTCTAGCTGTCTAGTTGTATAGCTTTCTAGTTGTCTAGCTGTCCAGTTGTCTAGTTGTCTAGTTGTCTAGTTGTATTGTTGTCTAGTTGTATTGTTTTCTAGTTGTCTAGTTGTATTGTTGTCTAGTTCTCTAACTGTCTAGTTGTCTAGTTGTATATTTTCCAGTTGTCTATTCGTTATAGTTTTCTGGATGTCTAGTTGTCTATATAGTTTTTATTCGTCTAGTTTTCTAGTTGTCTAGCTTTTTATTTTTCTATTGTCGAGTAGTCTAGTTGTCTAGTTGTCTAGTTATTTTAGCTGTTTAGTAGTCTAGTTGTCTAGCTGTCTAGTTGTGTAGTTGTCTATTTTTCTAGTTGTCTAGTTGTGTAGTTTTTCAGTTGTCTATTTGTGTAGTTTTTCAGTTGTCCAGTTGTCTTTATGTCTATTGTTGTCTAGTTGTTTTGTTGTCTAGTTGTCTATATGTCTAGTTGTCTAGTTGTCTAGTTGTCTAGTTGTTTAGTGTCTATATGTCTATTTGTCTAGTTGTCTAGTTGTTTAGTTATCTAGTTGTCTAAGTTGTCTAGTTGTCTAGTTGTCTAGTTGTCTAGTTATCTAGTTGTCTAAGTTGTCTAGTTGTCTAGTTGTCTAGTTGTCTAGTTGTCTAGATGTCTAGTTGTCTAGTTGTCTAGTTGTCTAGTTATCTAGCTGTCTAGATGTCTAGATGTCTAGTTGTTTAGTTGTCTAGTTATGGCGAGATAACCTAGTATCGAGGTTCAGTGATTTAGATTTTCCTGGTGAAACTTTACAGAGATCTGATCAAAATCCAAAATTTCAACCTTTGCATACTTTTTGATTTATGCTCATTTCTTAACCTTTCTAAGAACATTTCTTTTTAAAATCTTTAATGTTTACTTTATTTTTTTTATTCCAAAACTCCAAAGATGTGTACTTTTCACGCAAAAAACCATCAGGATTATGCCAATTACTTCTTTTAAACTGAGACTATAAACAATTGCGCTTAGATTTATGTGCAAGACTATAATCAAGATTTATGTACAAGACTATAATCAAGATTTATGTACAAGACTATGACTATAATCAAGATTTATGTACAAGACTATTTTCAAGATTTATGTACAAGACTATTATCAAGATTTATGTACAAGACTATTATCAAGATTTATATACAAGACTAGTTTCAAAATTTATGTACAAGACTATTATCAAGATTCATGAACAAGACTATTATCAAGATTTATGTACAAGACTATTATCAAGATTTATGTACAAGACTATTATCAAGATTTATATACAAGACTATTATCAAGATTTATGTACAAGACTATTATCAAGATTTATATACAAGACTAATATCAAGAGTTATGTACAAGACTTTTATCAAGATTTATGTACAAGACTAGTTTCAAGATTTATGTACAAGACTTTTATCAAGATTTATGTACAAGACTAATATCAAGATTTATGTCAAGACTATTATTAAGATTTATTTACAAGACTTTTATCAAGAGCTACAATAAAGTGAAAGGAAGTTTGTGATATGAAACAAAGGCAAGGGGTTGCCTGTTGCCACGCTTCAAAGTGGACACAGTTTTGAAAATGATGCATAATTTACGTTCTACACTCTTTGTATTATTTTAAGTAGTATACAGTTACACATATATAATTATAGTTATTGTTTTTTAATTATTTATTTCATCGATATAAAAATCAAATTGTTTATGTTGTTATTATGAATATTTGTTTGGTATTAAAACAAAAACAAATAGCTTATAAATGCAGGAATTCGAGAAACTATTTCGAAGATTTTAACGAAGTATGTAGGTCCCTGGTAATTATTTTGTCTGTGTGAAAAGCCCTGACGGTTTGAAGAGTCCACCGCCAAAACCTAGTCATGGATGAAATATATACATAGCAGCCATAAATCAGTTGGGAAAAAACTGGGAAAAATCTTGAAAAATCTGGATAAATATTTACTCATGTACTTTGAAGGTATTGAGAAACTTTCTATAGGTTTTCTATTCTTAAAATCAAGATCACAGGAATTGAGTCTTTGCCACACTTTTAACTTTTCTTATCACTGTATCTTTGCAACCTGCTATTTTAGATTTCTATTCAAAGATCTAATAGAAATATCTCATTGGTCTCGGATATTAAGTTGAATAGAAACGGATTAAAAAATTAGAGTTAGCTTGACAAAGAATTAATTCCTTTAACAATTCCTAATTACCTACAAAGAATGAGACTGAAAAGACGACTCAACCTTTTCAAACATGTCTATCTCAAGGCTTAAATTAATTTCTTCCTTGCATGTCGTCTTTTATAATGGCGTATTTTATGATTTTAAAGAAAGGAAGAAAAAGTTCGCAGTCGCAGGGAATCATGAAAACAAGGAAACAGATTTCTGGTGCTTACTGTCACATAGATTCAGCATGCTGTTTAAAAGTTTCATCAAGTTTTTAGACTGGGTCGAATTTGAAGTGTTGCAACACCTTGACTCTGAACATGTATACATTAAGCACTTTAAGGTGCTTGTTTTAGGCTTTGGTTTTACAGGAAGTAATATCCTAACTCTCAGCGATTTTAGCGTAAGAGCTCGGAACCTTTAAATCACAGTGTGTAAGATCAATTACTTTTTTTTAAATTGCTGCATGAGTAAAAAGAGAATTTCACAGTCGTTTTTATTAAAAGCTTTGCAACCAATTTTTTAAATTATATTGTAAATATGAAAGAATCACATATCAAGTGGTTATCTTTTCAAAAGCTGGCATATTTCCAATTTTACACTTGGTTTATTTTTACTGAAAAATTGTCCATCAATTAAATAAGTAGATATTTTGAATTAATCAGTTAACCAATTTCATTCAGCGTCAAACCACGGTGGTGTCTGCAACTGTATAGTTCGGAGTTGTCCGCAGGAAAATCTCCGAAACTTTTCTAGTTCAGAAAACCACCGCAAGAAGCGCTAAATCTCGGATCATTATTTGGCTTGTTTTTTTTCCACAATGATTTCATTGATCTTGGTAGGAATGCTGCCAGCTCTTTGCCTGGGACAGGTATAGGGGTTTGTACAATTTATGGGCTAATAATTGAAGTTTATAAGCAAACTAAAAGAAAGAAGTGAAATGCAAAATGGGTAAAACTTATGCCTTGACTCCTGTAACAAAAATTCCGGTGTAGATTTTTGCCAAAATCTCAAAATTTGAATCCTCATATATTTGCAACATGATGGTTTAAAGCTTTGATTAGAGTTTGTGGCAAAAACTCACTTCCTTTGTTACCCAACATGCAGTCATCCTTCTTTTACCCTATATCTTTGCCGAATGATAAAGTAAATTTTTGATAATTAAGTTCTTCAATTATTCTCAATTACATATTTGTTCTAGGCACATTTTTTCGGTCCTGTTGCTGTTGGTTTCGGAGCTGGGCTTTTAGGGTTAGTAAAAACGAATAATTTTTAGAAACACTTAATTTAAATAGGGTGGTTTGTACTGTTCACAATGGTACCCTTTCAAACCTTGCCAAATCAAGAATATTTGAGATCTATTCTTTTGTTCTTTTTGAAATCTAATTATTTTTAGTTTTGGCTTTTTTTTAAGTGAATTGGTAGAACGGTTTTCATGATAGAAGTGTAACGATGATTTTCTCATTGTTTCTGTGATGAAGATTTCTAAGATACCGTTGGGAATCTGACATTCCTCTTCCATGTTAAAAGGGTCTCTATTCTAATTTATAATTTTTTTTTTAATTTTCTATTTTTTTCGTAATTTGTATTGATGATGTTTAATGAACTTCCAAAAAAAATTTAAAACATCTTTTTTTGAAAATTAGGCTTCAACGACACTTTCCTGTGGCGACATCTATTGCGAGCCGACGAAGCTCAAGACAGTATTCACTCTCTACCTTTTACCAGGTATATACACGTTGTATAGAAATCAAAATATTCTTTTGATTCAACTCTTTTTAAAAAGATTATTAACGAAAAGCACAAGAATTTGCAAAAAGGATTTGCAAAAAGGATTTGCAAAAAGGATTTGCAAAAAGGATTTGCAAAAAGAAAAAAAAGAGGGAGCGCAAAATATAGGACGACTTAAAAGTGTAAGACAGTATTTTTACAATGTTCAAGGATTTTTTTTATTTCGAAGAGGATCTAAAATGTGTATGGCATTTCATTTATTTAATATATATCAGAAAGACACGGAATTAGTTAAAAATAATTCCGAGTCTTTCTGGCTATGACACGGGCAGCCGTAGTACATTTGAATTTCCGAGCCGGGTCAATCTTTCCGGTCCCAGTTTGTACTGTACCTAGCTCTATGGACAGGATAGCCGGTGCAACAAGGTTTACGCGGTCAGACTTTATGCTTCATATAGGTTGAATTTACTTTTACTAAAGTAGCAGAGGTGCGCGATGATTGTATATAAAGTAGTAATCTCTGTTTGTTTGTTTGTATGTTCGATCAGAACTCAAGAACATCGATAAAACCGCGGGAATATTCTATAGATTGGTTTAAAGGGTCTAGGTTGAACAGGTTTACTCTAATAAAGATATCTTAGTTTCCAGGCAAAGCTGAGTTCCCAAGTTATACGTAGTTTCCAAAAAAAATTGCATTTATTACATTTTGCAAAAGTTTTACACTACTTTGAGATTAATCTCAGATCGAAAACGGGTTGTTAAAATGTTTGAAATAATTGTTTGTAAATTTCATTAAACCAGATGAAATGGAAAAAAACAATATTTGAACCGTGGCTTTAATTTAAACCGCGGCCCAAATTCTGTAAATTCGGCCTCAGATGTCTGAATATTTGTGCTGTGAATCTCAGGATCAAAGATTGATATCAATCTTATGCAGATCTATGGAAAATTTAAATTATCATTCGATATCATGCCCTGAAGGGATACCTTAAACTAATGCACGAAGCTGATTTATCGTTAAAATGCCCACATTGGATATCGAGTTCAAGCGTTCAAAATTGTAAATACTCCAGACAAAAGTTCCAACCTAAAAATTAACATTTAACTACGTATTTTGAAATATTTAGAGCACGCCTTATGGTTCATTTGGATACAGTACTAGGAGTTATACCTTGACAGATCACTTCTATACTCCTAATAACCTGGCTTACTACCAACCTAATATCTACCATTATCATTCCACTCCCTGGGGAGCTCGTCTTCACCCTTATAGGAAAAAGAGGTAAGGGGCTCTTGTTTCAACTATCTGATTCTGATTTCAATAAATTATATAATCGCTAATCTAAAACCACTACAGTCTCATGTTTAAATCATTGTTCTTAATGTCATTTTGTTCTGCAGGCTTTTTGTGTGTACAGACTTTTTTCTGTAAACATGCAATTAAAAAGCTTCTAGGATTATTTTGTTCAATTTCTAGTTAAAGGAAAAATTATATAGAAAATCAAACCCGTTTTTTATTTAAACCCTTAAAACTATATATCATAAAATAAGAATTTTATAATTAGGGCTGCAGAGAATGCAATTGCGCGAAGGAAGAGGCGTGAAGCAACTCCAATTGATATTGACAGCGTTGAAGTCTCCAAAATAGGAGACGTGGCTTCAAACGTGACTGCAGGATTTAACGACAAGGTAAACTTGTTATCCTTAAATTCAAGTGACTTTACAGTGATGGAGTAGCATGTTCAATTTACAAAGGTACACTCGAGGAAATAAAATTAATATCCAAGATTTAAAAACTATACTCATTTATAACTAATTCATACTTGATCTAACATAGCTTTTCAGGGTATCGTTGTGAATCGAGCATTGTAAATGTTAAATGTGTATTTATTAATAGAAAACAATATGACTCAATCGTTAAGCCTCAGACAAAGTCTCAGAATCTGAATATTCTTCTAAACTTTAAATATTCTCTAGACAGTCCCTGTAATATTTGTAATGTGTGTTTAGATCTGGTACAGTGATATGAGCTTCAAGGACCGAGATGACTGTTCTAAACGCCTGCTGTGTGAACTGAACGCCAAGTATGCAGAAGGTCAACCTATGGAAGAAGACGAGATTACAATTGCACTTTCTTTCGGTAACGGAGACGAGGTGGATATAGGGGAGGAAACAATGGACTTTGATATTGCAGCAGTGGTGGGGAAACAGGTAATTACATGAGGGAGGGAGAACAGAGCAACCATGAGCCCCGCGATCTGACCTCCGGTGCCTCCTGATTCGCAGAATTACCTCCTAGCCAATAAAAATCATCTTTGCTCTTCACGCTTCGTCTCCAGACCTCCGCAACTCTGTCTCCAACATTCTTATTTCCAATGACAAATATTTGGCTTTTACATCCACAAAAAATCAATTTTTTGAAAAATCTGAAAAGGCTCCGGAGGACAGTGTGTGGGGCTCATTATTTCTCTGCAACCCCTCCCTTGTTGCATTCATACAGTGTTAGAAAAAAACTTAACTTTTGTTATGTAATTATACACTATTCGAAACCATTTGAATACTTTAAACTACATATATGAATACTGCTCGATCAAACAGTCTAAGTTTAATGGGAGTGTTCATAAAAATGTATATGTACTTTGGGGACATTTTTTGGACACAAGGTGTGTACCCTACGTGAAATCAAGAGCAGTGGTACCTAGCGTCCAAATAATTATTCTCCAAAATACATTTTATGTAAAGTAATTAAACAAATATTATGATATTCAAACTACATAGCTGAATTTGACATTTATATAAATTGTAATATCTGAATGATTTGTTTTGAATTTTATAAAATTATCTACGGTTAGTGTAAATTAACAAGGTTTTGTTGTGACCATCATTTTAAAATTTTATTTTCTCATAAATTTATGTTTCTAAGATTTAAAGCAGAGATAAAAATCAGATTTTAAGACAATAACTCGATGGTAATTGTTTTCTGATTGATTAATGATGTGAGTTTTTGTTGGTAAAATATTCAATAATTCAATTATTATATTTGGCTGATTTCATGCACCTCGTACTTTTAAACCATAATTACATAGTTTCATGCCAAGATTAATCATTCATCCTAAAAATAAAAAAATGTTTGCTTGAAAATTAATTTAATCAAATTTAATCTTTAATTAAACCTTTGATTAGCTTTAAATTAGACTCTATAACAGTAAGAATAATTAGTTCAAAGATCACTAACGACTTGTGGACAATGGCAGAGACTATTTTTTAACCCAAGCAATCAAAATGTTTAATTCAGATAATATTTTGATATTTCGATCGATTGACGCATAGTTTTTCTAACTCGAAAAGTGTTTAAATTAGGTAATTTCTTTGTTGCTTAATTTAAGCAAATGCGCAAGTAACTCTCACAGAGAACACGCAAATGAAAATAAAAATTTGAAAGAAACAAAAACATGGATATCTAATTTGATCAGACATAGCCTTTAAGAGTGAATCGGGCATTGCCATCATTGAATTTAAGCTTATTGTCTCTTTAAGATGGGTGTGGATATCTGTGTACGACGGTATAGAAGATGTGAAACTTCGGTTCCAAGAATACTCGAGATGATCAGGTAAAACTTGAAGAGATTGGTGACGAAATTTCTAACCCCAAAAGTAGTTTTCCAAAAGAAAATTATAAATCCCATAAAAAAAGTGCAAAAGATGTTATTTTTTTTTACATTTGCGATACCTGCACTTCAAATGAACAGGCTTTTAGGTATGGGGCACGTTTTGTGCTTTCAAAATAAGAATATGATATATTTTAATTTTTAATTTTTTAAAGAATGGAGTTACGAGAGCTGGAGACAGTTGAAGCAGAAGTAAAGAGTGGCAACGCATCTCTGGAAGATCTTGAAAATGCGTGAGTATTAAATTAATTTGACGCAAAAACACAGTATGAGATTTCAGAGACGACCGACACAGAATTTATATTCATGGTTTCAGCTTTACACGAATGATTAACTAGATTCTCTTTAAAAAGGGAGAGGATCATGTTGTATCTCTTTTCGAAAGTTGGTTTTGTCTTCATTAAAGTCTGTTGGTGTCCCGGGTATCATAGATATAGAAACTAACTGTTATAGATGAGATATAATAATACATCATTCATGAGAGACGAGGAACTCTCTTGCCTCAAACTCAAAAGTTTTAAACCTTTTTTATCTTTGGAACTTTTATGTCAAAGACCTTCCATTATTCAAATTGTGATTTCCGCTGGAATTTAAATGTTTAAAAATGTTTCTAACTGTACAATTTTTCATTTTAACAATGTTTTGCGGATTTTTCGCAATCAATATTTCCCTACATAATCTCGGCGTTGATGAAGAGGAGCACCAAGTAGCTGGTGTTTAGGTTGGAGGATGAGAAGGAGGAGGTCAACAATATCGGGGAGAAGGATTTCTTCCCTCCCATCTCCACCCCTTCATACTACCCTAAAGTTGAAGTGTGGGGTGGAAAATTCTAAGGATAATCTCTTTAAATTTTAAATTGTGAAAAATGTGCAATGAATTCTATAGGTTGGAGGATGAAACAGAAGAACTGGAACAGCTCAAAGAAACGGATCTTTTCGCAACAACCACAACAACAACAACAACAGTCAAACCTAAATACTACCCTAAGATATCCAGCACCATCTGGGGCGGGAAAAGCGTTCTCCAGCCAATTAACTAATTATATTTATTATGTAAAATCCACCAAATCAAGAAATGAAAAATCCGCAAAATAAACTGAACATTTTGTTTTTATTTATCCTTTTAGGCTAGCTGATGAGGAAGAGGAAGTAAAAAATATTAAAGAGTCCGATATTTTTGCAACAACAACAACAACAACAACTTCAACTACAGTTGTTCCAGGAGTTCTGCCTCTGTTATTTGGATAAATATCTACATTGTACATTTTAATTCTTAATTAAGATTTCCACTTTTAAACTTTTAAATTGATCCATCAGGTTAAATATAAATTAAATTTGGGATTTTTTTGTTTAGGGTTTAATTCCTTCTAAACATGTTCCTACATCGAAATTTAAATGTTTACTTCATGCAAATTATTCCTTTCAAGCAGTTTCTTAGTAACGGTTCGTCATTCTAAATTATTCTAAAGATATTTGATTCATTCTCTTCTTTAAATTGTCATGTTTTGAGAGGAAAAGAAAATGTCAGAATAGAAGTTCAGGATGTTTTTTTGTACGTAAAGGGACTGTACAGGAAAAATGAAAGGGTGTATCGGCTGAAACCTGAGCATTTTAGGAGTTGGTTGAGACTTTTGAGACATTCTATCTGATGTTTCTTGTCTGGAGGAATTTAGATAAAACTGTGTCAAAATTATTCCAAACCTCTTTTATTTGAGATTTGGAATTGGAATTTAAGTTTTAAACAGATCAAAGTCAGCAAATAAACAACCAATCTAAACGACAATATCCCCGAGGTTCAGGTTCGCTCATTTTATAATTTGAATTTGATGATTTTTCATTTTTAATAAATATAATTGATAATATAAGTGATACGTGATACGTGATACAGACGTATTACTGATATTATCAATTAGAACATATTTAAAATGAAAAATTATGAGTTTTGGTTTAATTTTGACAAGGTTTTATATCAATTTTTCGAGACAGGAACATCATATAGAATTCATATAGGTCATGATCAACTCCTAAAATGTTCAAGTTTCAGCCTATACCCCCTTTCATTTTTCCTTTACAGTCCCTTTAAGATTTAAACTGCATTGAGGTCAGCCAGTTCAGTAGCAGACACCAGCTTCTAAATACGAGAATTTAAGAATTTGATAATTTACAAAAAGCTTTTAAGAGAAAAGACAATGTCGTCATAGATTATACAGTCATTTAGGTTTTGTTTTACTTTGAAGCAAAGATAACAGAATAAGACGGGCTGAACTTTAGTGTATCATTTGATGCTTACCTAGAGAAATGCCCGATGTCTGCTACGGTATGACGGTCAACAGATTCTATACTCCCCCCTCCACCTACCTTTTTTTTCAAATCGGGAATTAGGTTGGGCAAAAAGTGCCCTGCCCTCTTAACCATGAAGAACTAACACCCAAGGGCCAGTATCAAAAACGATCCAAAGTGGTATTTTTTTCTTTTTAAGTGAAAAGACATTCCACTATTTTCTAGTTACCACTGTATGAAATGTGAATGTATCGCTCCAGAACTTGTTTTTTTATAATAATTGCTGTTTCTAGAAAAAGATAATTAACAATCATAGTTCACAATAACAATTTAATGATATAAAACATGGTACTGGAGTAGCTCAAACGGTGCTGGAGTAGCTCCGAGGGTGCTGGAATAGCTCCCATTGTGTTGGAGTAGCTACCAGAGTGCTCAAGAGTAGCTCCGAGGGGGTGATGGAGTAACTCTGAGGGTGCGGGAGTAGATCCAAGGGTGCTGGAGTAGCTCCCAGGGTGCTTGAGTAGCTCCCAGGGTGCTGGAGTAGCTCTCAGGGTGTTGGAGTAGCTCCTTGGGTGTTTGAGTAACTCCCATGATGTTGTAGCAGCTACCAGGATACTGGAGTGACTCAAAGGGTGCTAAAATAGCTCCCAGGGTGTAGGTCTAGCTTCCAGGGTGCTCAAGAGTAGCTCCCAGGGTATTGGAGTAACTCCCTGGGTGTTGGAGTAGATCCAATGGTGCTGTAGTAGCTCCCAGGGTGCTGGAGTAGCTCTCAGGGTGTTGGAGTAGCTTTCTGGGTACTAGAGTAGCTTCCAAGGTGTTTGATTAGCTCTCAGGGTGCTGGAGTAGCTCGCTCGCGTAGATCCAAGAATGCTGGAGTAGCTCCCAGGGTGCTGGAGTACCTCCACCGATGTTGGAGTAGCTCTTAGAGTGCTGTAGTAGCTCCCAGGGTGTTGGAGTAGCTCCCTGTGTGCTGGAGTAGCTTCCAGGGTGCTAGAGTAGCTCCCAGGGTGCTGAAGTATATCCCAGATGCTTCAGTAGCATCCAGGGGGCTGAAATAGCTCCCATGGTTCTGGAGTAGCTTCCAGGGTGATATAGTAGCTTCCAGGGTGCTATAGTAGCTTCCAGGGTGCAAGAGTAGCTCCCAGAGTGTTGGAGTAGATCCCAGGATGCTGGAATAGCTCCCAGGGTTTCGGATTAGCTTCCAGGGTGGTGGAGTAGCTCCCAGGGTGCTGGAGTAGCTCCCCGGGTGCTGTAGTAGCTCCCAGGTTGGTATAATTGCTCCCAGGGTGCTAGAGTAGCTTCCACGTTGCTAGAGTAACTCCCAGGGTACTGGAGTAGCTTCCAGGGTGCTAGAGTAGCTCCCAGGGTGCTGAAGTATCTCCCAGATGCTTCAGTAGCATCCAGGGGGCTGAAATAGCTCTAGGGAGGGGGTGCAGAGGCGCCATGATCCCCGCAAAAATGATCTCCGAACCTCAGGATTTGCAGAATTACCTCCAGGCCCCGCAAAACTGGTCTCCCAGCCTCAGTGACGTTACCAAGCCTTCCGCCATTCTGTCTCCACGCCCCGCATTTTGGTCTCCGCTTGTTGTTTTTATTTTTTGTTTAAATTAAGGGTGCTATAGTAGCTCCCAGGTTGGTATAATTGCTCCCAGGGTGCTAGAGTAGCTTCCACGTTGCTAGAGTAACTCCCAGGGCCGGTACTGGAGTAGCTCCAAGGGTGCTAGAGTAGCTTCCAGGTTTCTAGAGTAGCTTTTAGGGTACTAAAGTAGCTTCCTGAGTGATAGGGTAACTACCAGGGTGATGGAGTAGCTACCAGTGTGATGAAGTAGCTCCAAGGGTTATGGAGTAGGTTCCAGGGTGTGGGTTGGATACGAAAGGTTTTGGATAATTTGGTATTTAACCCTATTCCTGCTAGGGGGGGGGGGTCAATTTTAATGCCTAGTTTTGTTAAGATAATTGTTGGGGAAGAATATGCAAAGTACTGATGAAAATACTGTCCATTTGTTATTGTTTCCAGAATTTCAAGATTGTTCGACATATGGCCAAAAAGCGAACTTTTTGGGATTTTTTCTGGTCTCATGTCGAAAAAATCTAGAAAACGAAATGAATTTTTAAATAGTGTTTGTTACTTTTTAATCTTTATTTTCTCATTACAACATATATGTTTAAATACTAATTTCAAAGTTTCACTAAAATATTCTTTAAGAGTTTAGGTGTTTAATTGTTTACTATCTAATTTCGAATACATTTAATTAATAGGTAAACTTTATATTACAGGGTCACTCACAAACTGTTGTGCTAGAACGTTTTATAGTTGACTTTAAGCCGTTGATTTAAAGGAATTGAACGACAAAGAAATTGAAAAAAATGCTTTCATCTTTGCAACCTGATGACGTAGACCTCTAACATTTCAAACTCAGAATTTTAAAAGTTTACAATATCATAAGTTTGACCACTCTGGGTTGCAAAGAACAGCAAGGATAAAAATAAATTTTGAAGCAAGTAATCAATTTCTTTAAGACAGCTTTTATAACAAACTAATAATTAGATCTTATAAATATGATTTTTTGTGAATAAACCTGTATCATAAAAGGTAAAAAATATCTTTTAATTTCAGTTTTATTTTTAGATCTCTAATTTTACATTTACACAAGTTGAATTTTTGATTTAACCCCCCGGTATACCCTTTATCATAAAGATATAAATCGTTTATTAAAGCTCCAAACCTAATTACTGTGTTCAGGATGTCTCTCAAAATATTTTAACCCAAAATACAAGATTTTTAAAACTTTCTGAAAGTTCGCCGATTTAAAAAAACTGCAATTATTACAGTAATAAGTTAAACAAAAAATTATTTTTTCACTCATTTTTAGGGTTATTTATATTTGTGACTGAAAGGTTACTTGAAATTAAATCGATAATTTCTTTAAGTTTTAAATCTTTTTTTTTCTTCTACTGAACTCAAAATGTCTAAAAGAGGGCCCACTTGGAGATGAATAAAATATTCATAAAAGCTATAACACTAGTTGTTAAAAGGACTGAGAGCGTAAATTCGAGTGACCCTTCATGGACAAATGGATGTTCCCCATGCACAATGGTGCCCTTAACAGCTTTGTATTGTATGAATTAGATTATCAATGTTTATAACTTTTTAAAAAATGTTTCTTTTCAATTTTAAATCTCCAAAAGTGACTTGAATATTTCTAGAGCAAGGAAACATATACAAGTTATCAGAATAACAGAAAAATGACAATATTAACCAGATAAGTGATGAGATAAAGGTTTCCAGGATATCCTTGTGAAGCGGACAGTGCCATCTCTGGATGAAGGATCACTTAAATTTACGCGTACATTCCCTTTAATAGTTGAAGTCGTTTTTGAACTTTTGAAGTACTTCTTCAAATTCACAAATATTAATAATTTTTTACACACTTTTCTAAAGATAAGATTAAAATAGTCTTTACTGCATATTTCTTTTCTAGATGAAAGATGAAAACCGTAGAAAAAAAGCTTTGTAGAGCTGCTAAACAAATGAAAAAACATTGTTGGCATTCAATAACTATTGAAGATCAATATCCTAGTATTATTAGGGCACTCTGTATAATTATAATTAGAGAATTCTAAAACACCTAGTACACCCCCCCCCTCCCCGGCCCTTATCCTTTTTCTAAAAATCAAGGTTTAATTCGCCGTCTTTGAGCGTATACATCTCTTGAGTTTTTCGGACAACTTAAAAACTAGTGTTTAATCCTAAAAAAAACAGTAATCTGATCTCAAAAAAAATATTTTCATTTTTTTTTGTAAAATTTCATATTTAAAAGATATTTTGTGAATCATTTTGTAAATTTTCTAGCAATTTGATTTAAATTTTTGACTAAAAAATACTTGAAACAAAGAATAATTTTTTTGCAAATTTGTTACTAATATGTGGTATAGTAGAAAGCATACATATAATGCATATAGCATACAACATAAATGAGATTGAACGAGATCAAAGTTTTGTTTTATTTAAAATAGATTGTTTTTGAGATTCTACTTTTCAGTTATTTTAAGAGACTGTCTACATAATTTCAAGAGACCCTCAATTTGAAGCGTTATATAATGGCACCCTTTACAGACACAAATTCAATTTCTATGTAAAAACCGCAAATGAAATTTACCTTTTTTAAGAGAGAAAAAGGTATAACTCATCACTTTTGCTCACGGACAATGATAGAAAGGGTACCTCTGTAACTGGATAAATCACTTTAATAATTGAAATTCAATTGAAATTTAGCCTACAGTCCCTTTAAGTCAAGTAAATGTAAAATAGCATGTTTGTTTAGTAATATTAAGTTTTCACAATGTTACGCATATTTAAAAAACGCGGTTTCTAAAAAGAAATAGGTAATTATGTGTTTATGCTTATACATAAAATACTAATTATAAAATTATTTGCTAATTCCAGGAAACATCTTTCAATCCTGGTGGCTTTAAATTCATAGAAACGATCAAATTTGATAAGAAAATAAACTAGGAGAATAAAATACTGCAATAGTTGAATAGACCCACAAAATGATGGAGTTGAATTTACACCTTTTCTGCAGACTTAAAATAACATTTTACACAAATGTAATAATTTATTATAATTTGCGCGCGTCAGATATAACTGTCAGGGGTTTTATTGCTAAGTTTTAACTTTCTGTCACTTTTTATAATTCGTTAAATCCTCCCTTTTACAATAATTTCTTCCCCTACAATTTAAATTTATCTTTTTTCATCAAGATCTATAAAATTTAAACCATTTTTCAGGACGAAGTGTGAATAAAGCTTTTTAAGTTTATATCATCCGCCTTTTTATCCTTTACTCTCCGCCCATCGTCTTCCTTCCTCCGTCCCTCTTCGTCCTTTCTCCGCCCTGAGTTCGCTTCCGGTAATGCGCTGGGCGGAGTTCCGAGCAGGGAATTTAATGACTCGGAATATTCCGGCGGATCAAAGAGAAGTCCGGATTTGGAGGTGCGGTTTTGAAGCTTGCTTCGCCGGGTCAACTCCGGGTTTATCAGGTCGACTGTATCCGGAATTAGATTTGATATACCGACAAGGGGACCCGGATGGGAGCCTTGAACCGGATCCGGAATGGGAAGGTCTGGTATCAAACCGGATTGTGAAGTTCTAACAACCCTCTTCTAAAATAAAAAAAAATCAGAATAATTTCACAATCTTGAAAATAAGAATTTTAAATTAGCTTTAGTAATGTCATTTTGAATATAAAATTTGATCAAAAACGTAGATTTTTGTAGCGTAAAGTAAAAAATGCACATATTCGTTCAGGGCCATTTACAAATGTTAGATATGAGCAATTATTTTCTTAGATATTTTTGATAAATATTTTTTTTCTTACCATAGAAGAAGAATCATTGTGTTCTACATTAACCTTAACAAAAACAAATTTTAAGAAAACTATTTTTATACTTTTTCATTTCAATTAAAACAATTATTGCACTTTAAAATGGTACAACTGTATTTCTTTTCACTCATGCTTAGGGATTATGAGCGTTACTTTTTAGTAGCTTTTCATGCATTGGCAATGCCTGATACACAAAGGTAGCTTTAAATCTTTATTTGATCAAGTATGAATTAAATATTGATTTTTAACTTATAATTTTTAAAACTGTTTTTTTCCAATTTGTCAACAAAACTTACTTGCGCACTTTTACTTCAGGAAAACATGTTAAAATTATCATATTTAAACACTTTAAACCCTAGAAAAACGACAATTCTCAACATTGATGATCGATAAAGCTTTCAACAGTATAACCGCGGTTGTAAATTAGACATTGCGATCGTTTCATGGAGGGTCACTTGAAAATACGCAAACATTCCCTTTAATAGACTAACCTCTGTATGAGGAGGTTGCTGCTGTGTGGCTGAGATTACGTCTTTTCTCTTTAAAGTACTGCTTCTCCGTATTTTTAATTCACTAAAGAACAGAGTGAACAAAATTAAAATTTAATTATGAAGAAAAAATTATCTTTCATTGCAGTTTCACAAATATCTATTCACTTAAACTTAAAATTTGCATTACCGGCCCTGTGTGCGTGTCTATGACTTTACCATACTGGTCCATCCAACGTGTACCCATGGTAACAGAACAGTAACAGTAACAGAATAAGACGGGCTGAACTTTAGTGTATCATTTGATGCTTACCTAGAGAAATGCCCGATGTCTGCTACGGTATGACGGTCAACAGATTCTATACTGTCCCCTAAACGATCAATCGGTAGACCACTACTCAAACTTGAATTGTGCTGCCTTCGAACACGAACTAAATCAGAGTGTCCTTTTTCACTTGGCACCAATTGGAACTCATTTCGACCCGGCCTGCCAACACAAGGAGAAGCCATGTTGGCCCCTGATAAGGCCGGTCGGGCCGTTCGGGTCAGAGTTGTACTGACCGGCCGGGTCAAAGTGGTACTAGCCGGCCGGGTCAAGGTGGTACTGGGCCGGTATTTTGGAAGGGTACCCTCACTGTACTTGGGCCCAAGAAAGGGTTCTTGGGCAGCTTCAGCGCTGTCACTACTCATTTCTCTAAAAATGAAAACGTTTATTCAATACATTTTTTTAAATTTAAAATGACTGTTCTTTAATTTTATTTTGTTATGCATTGATATTCCAGATTACTCAAGCTGGTACAAATAGGTCGAACCGGTGCGTGATCCTGACCAGTACACAGATTTACCGGTCCAGTGCAGTTGAACTTACATTCACTGGTACCGACCAGTCTAGGCTATACAGTGTTAAGTCGACCCAGCACGTTTTATGCAACAATTGTAGGTTTGTAAAATCTATACATCTGGTTGGTACAGTACACAGTACGCACAATAAACCACAGTTAACATGTAAACCAGGTATCATAGCAGAAAAATTGTTATCTTGTTCATTCTTGTATCAAGAAAACTGACGAAAAAGTTTTTTTAATCATAGCTTTCAAAACTAAGATTTCTCTTAACCTTTTAAGCTAATTGCCAAAAATTCTATAATTTTGCTGTATTTGTAAAACCTTAATTTTCTAATGAGATATATACCTTTGAATTGTAAAATGTAAACATATTTAAAAGTTTTTTTAAATTTTTTTCCTGTTAAAGTTCTAAAAAATATATTATTTCAATTTATCCATGTTGCTGTATTCTATTTCTTAAAAATTTGAATATTGTTTTGGTGAAATTTGTTTCATATTTCTGTCATTTCATTGCGAGTGCATAAAGTTTGGGAATAAAAATAATTGCAAACTGTTTGCAGTGGAAAGCTGGGAATTCAATTGTTTAATAAAAATCTATATTTTCAACTTGAACTAGAGTTACACAAGGAAAATCCGCGACTAGCAGTAAGTTCTACACAAAAATAAAATAGAACCTTTCTACGCAAAAACACTTTGCTTCATACAAAGTGGATTTCTAAACAAAAACAGAAGGCTACTACGCAGTAAGCATTTATTAGATTTTACGTTAAACAGTTTTTTCTAAGCAAAAAAGTAAGTTTCTACAATTTAAACGTTATTTATCTATTATAGTTGTAGAGGTTTCTATTCAATTAAAAGTTGGTTTGGTTTCAAGTAAAAACAAATATTTTTTTTAAGTTCGTAGAAAAACATTGAAACAATGCGACAGAAAAAAACCAATATGATTCAATCATTAATTACAATGTATCTAAAAATATTTTTGTAATAGGTATATTATTAAGTTTACTTATTTATATAGTTTGAAATCAAAATATTTTTGTAAAAGGCATATTATTAAGTTTGTTTATTTATATAGTTTGAAATCAAAGTATTTTTGTAAAAGGTATATTATTAAGTTTGTTTATTTATATAGTTTGAAATCAAAGTATTTTTGTAAAAGGCATATTATTAAGTTTGCTTATTTATATAGTTTGAAATCAAAATATTTTTGTAAAAGGTATATTATTAAGTTTGTTTATTTATATAGTTTGAAATCAAAATATTTTTTCTCTTAAATAATCTGACACTATCAATTTAATTGTCATTTTTCCTCCAAATTTAAATATATACATTGTTGTTAAATATTCATTTGTTGTTTTTTTGCAATTTTCCATAAAATATTTATATTTCTGTCTATTTTGGAAATGTTTACGTTATTTTCATTCCGCTTTTAATATTAGATGAGATTAAAGAACCCTCAGAAAGAATAAGAAAGTAGTCTTTTTATTTCTTTTAATTTCTTCATGCAAATGTAGAATAAAAACAAAAAATTGTTTAAATGTTTTCTGTAGCAGGAAAAAAATATTTGTAAGATGTCTTAATTCCCAATGTTGGACTTTTTTCTATTTTTTATTTGTTCTTTGTTTTATTGGTTTCTTTATGAGATGAATTTTATTGTTCAATCTTCATAAAATGTGAATGAAACAGAAATCTTAGTAACCTGTGGATAAATGAATTCAAACGTCCTATCTCAATAAAAAGTGGATGAAGCAGAAATTTCTCCGATCATAGTAACCTGTGGATAAACGAATTCAATCGTTCTATTTGAATAAATGTGTATGAAACACGTGTATTTCTCCGTTTTTGTAGTCTTCACCAACTTTGGATGATATAATCAACTTGCTCCATCTGCATTATCTGTGAGATGGTCATTTGTCCTATCTTAGTGATCAATGAGATGATTGTTCAAACTGTGAAATCTGAAGACGTGATGATTTCTTAGCACTCGGTTTCTTGACGATTTCTTTTCTGCAATCAATGTATTACCTTCACGGGATCTGCTCTCTCTCAGGATGTATATGTTTGAAATGATAACTCTCTTATCTTAATAGTCTATTATCTTTGTAGCATCTCTGAAGTCTGTGGGCAGGGGCACGGCGGTTTACATTGAGTTCCTGGCATAAAGGGGGGTTTGAGGGAATAACTAAACTTTTTATATATCCCCCCCCCACTAGAATTTTCAAAAACCACCCCCCCCCCCACTAGAATTCTTATAAAGACAATTTGGTCATTGTTATGCATAAACAAATGCTGGGAGTGGGATGGGGGAAATGTGCAACCAAATTTATGATTTAAAAAGTTATTCTTCATTATGAGAGATAAAGTTAATTTAACCTATTCTTGAAAATCATAATTTAAGGACTAAATTGTCCTAAGCCCTCTCTTTGGGGGGGGGGGACGTTCCTTCTTATTTTCCAGGGAAGAGGGTCCGTCCTCCCCCCTCTTTAAGCCGCCTCTGCCTGTGGGTTGATTATATTCTTTAACCTTGCTGATCTATGGATATATTTTAAAAAATTACCGTAGCATAATTCTTGGCCTGATATCCTCACAGCTTGAATAATCCGGAGGAGGAGTCCGGATCCCGGATCCGAAAGAACTACTCCGGATGGCCTGGAGGGAGCGGGAAAGAGGTAATCTGGAAAATATAATATTTGATATTTTAAACCATAACCCTGTAACTTGTCAGGAGTTGAGTGTTTGCCACAAACTCTCATTTTCTAATCCCTATACCTTTGCGGTTCCAGTACAAACGTCGGATGTTACAACGGTCGGATAGTACAAACGTCGGACTGGGACAAACGTAGGACTAGTACAAACGTCGGAACAGTACTAACGTTGTACGGGTACATTTATAAGGAAAAAGTTGGACTTTGGTTGAGTTTAAAAAAATTATTTTTTAAAGAATAGTTTAAAATCAATCACTTATTGTGTATTGTGATAAAAATCAAAGACAACTGAAAAAGTCTCATCCTTTGAAGTTAGCACTCGTAAAAACAACAGACAAAAAGGAATTGAGTTCTTTACAGAAACTCTGATGTTTCAACGCCTATATCTTTGCAACTAGTGTCGTAGACTTTTGATATTTCAACCAAAGAAATTTATAAAATCAAACTGTTTAAGTTTGAAAGTATCAATGAGTAATACCATCAGGTTGCAAATATATTTAAGTTAGTGGCAAGAACTCAGTTTCATTGGGTAGATTTTAATTATACCATTCGACTTGAGGAAACACATTTTCAATAAAAAAAACTCTTTAAATTCAAACAATTGTTTTCCCCGAGTCCGACTACTGCACTGGTCTGACGTTTGTACTGGTCCGATGTTGTATTTTCCGACGTTTTTACCAGTCCGAAGTTTGTACTAGTCCGACGTTTGTACTGGTCCGACGTTTGTACTGGTCCGACGTTTGTACTCCCCGACGTTTATAAGTCTTAGGGTTGTACCGTCCAACTTTTGTACTGACGTTTGTACTGGTACCACCTTTGCAACCTTATGTCTCAGTCCGAAGTTTGTACTAGTCCGACGTTTGTACTGGTCCGACGTTTGTACTGGTCCGACGTTTGTACTCTCCGACGTTTATAAGTCTTAGGGTTGTACCGTCCAACTTTTGTACTGACGTTTGTACTGGTACCACCTTTGCAACCTTATGTCTAAGACCTCAGATTTTTCAAAATATATTTTCTGCAATTGATCAAATCATATGAGTTTGAAATAATAAAGGTTTAAACCATCAGGTTGCAAAGATAAAGAGATTAGACAATATGAGTTAGTGGCAAAGACTCGATTCCTTCTGAGATTTTTTAGAAAGAGAGCAAAATGTTATCGTTAAATACGAATCGATATTTGTTCTTGTAAGTCCTTGAAAACCCCGGATCCAATCTTGATGTAATGAAAAATTAAAATTTTTGCGCAATAATCCTTAAGAAAACAAACTTTTTGAATGGATTTAAAAAAATGTCATGACATCGTTTTTTCTTTCAGAAGTGTAGAAAATTTCAAATGAATATAAAATCAATTTTAGTGTAAAGGGACGTATGTTTTTCTTCATTCTCTATCATCTATTTACAAAGTGGAATTTCGATTCAAAATGTTATCAATTAATATTTAATCGAATGAATGAGATATCCTAATTGTTAAATTGATCATTTTTAATTATAATTTCTCTATAAAATTGTCAATATTAAAGACTAGAAAAAAAGAACAATGATTTAGCCCAAAGGGTGTCCCATTTTAAATGCAGGTTCATTTGAAATAAAAAACATTCCCTTTAATGTGAAAGATGTACCTTGGTCTGAAACTATCTGAGTATGGTGGAGGGTCTGGAGGTCGTCTTCCTGTATCTGGGTTAAAGTGCTTCAACGCTTCGTTGTATGTGGGAGGAGGTCGTTCCCATCTGCAGACCACACAATCAATATTAAACAATAGGTCACAGTTTAAAAAATTAATATTTAGGGGTCACACACAGACCACACAATCAATATTAAACAAGAGGTCACAGACCGCTTAATCAATATTTAAGGGTCAAAGACCACAATCAATATTAAACAAGAGGTCACAGACCACACAATATATATTAAGCAAGTGGTCACAGATCACACAATCAATTTCAAACAAGAGGTCACAGATCACACAATCAATATTAAGGGGTCAGAGACCACACAATTAATATTAAGCAAGAGGTCACAGACCACACAATTAATATTTAGGGGTCAGAGACCACACAATCAATATTTAGTGGTCAGAGACCATACAATCAATATTAAACAAGAGATCGCAGACCATCAATATTTAGGAGTCACAGACCACACAATATATATTAAACAAGAGGTCACAGACCACACAATTAATATTAAGCAAGAGGTCACAGACCACACAATTAATATTAAGCAAGAGGTCACAGATCACACAATTTATATTAAGCAAATTAAATAAGAAATCGGAACTTTTGATTGGAATAATGACGCTGACACCGACTAAACTTGAAATCCACAGTTTAAACTTTTGAATGTAAGGATTTATGTCAACGGTGTATGTTTGAAAAATTGGCCATAAAAGTTAAATTAACCTTTCGATCATGCAATTTATCAACTCAATTAAAAGATGCTTTATATGTGAACACCCTGTGTTTCTAAACAACGAACTTGACCTTTTAAGCTAAAGGATTTCCGAAGAAACAATAAGATCCAATTTTCTTTAATTATGATTTCGTGTGAAAATCTATGCATCAATCATCTCCTAAAATATAAAAAGATGTTTTTTGATAACAAATTCACTTTACGTCTGGGAGAAAGCTTAACAAATTATAAATCGATGAAATATTAAAAATTGCATAAACATATTACAATTCAACCTTGCAAAAAATGGTTGTAACTATATCTTAATTGCACAAACTACTTCCGAGTGTACCTTAATCGCAAAAAAATGGTTCCAACTATACCTTTATTGCAAAAATTTGTTGCGTTAAAAATTCCATTTATCTATATTGAAGTCATAACTTGATTGCTATGATTGCAATCATATTCAATTGCAATTATTCAATTTTATATAAAATAAAATTGAAATAAAGTTTTCATGATTATTTCTTATTCAGGTAAATCTAAAAATAAAGTTTAAAGTCAGATTATTTTAGGATACAACCTTTAGATGTCGAACATCGTAAATATTTATAAACACTGAAACAAGTTATCCCCCTATCTAAATAAAAATTTAGATTGTCTTGGTGTCAGTTTGTCTGTATTCAATAAACGTCAAAACGACTGAACCGATCGGGCCCAAATTTTGACCCAAGGGAAGGTTTATAAATGATCAAAATTTTAAACATTTGCGTTTAAAAGTTTTTTTAATTTTGTAAAATTTTGAAAATGAGCAATAAAAATATTATGATATCCACAAATTTTATTGTTTATGTTTTATACTGTACAAAGAGAAGATGCTCACAGATAAAGACACAATTAAAAGTTGAAATAGAAGATGGGCGTGAAGCGGCCTAAAAGCCTAGTTTTAATAAAATTTCTAAAAAATACAAATGTAAAAACCAGTTTTGAACAATAAAAACCCAACTTAACCTTCCAAAAATGAAATTATTTAATCAAAACTTCAAATTCGTGTACAATCTCTTTAAATGTTATATTCGTGTGCAATCCCTTTAATTGTTAAAATTCGTGTACAATCCCTTTAAATGTTAAAATTCGTGTACAATCCCTTGAAATGTTAAACTACGTGTACAATCCTTTTAAATGTTAAATTCGTGTACATACACCAACTTGAAATGTTAAAATTCGTGTACAATTTCTTTAAATGTTAAAATTCGTGTACAATCTCTTTAAATGTTATATTCGTGTACAATCTCTTTAAATGTTAAAATCCGTGTTCAATCCCTTTAAATGTTAAATTCGTGTACAATCCTTTTAAATGTTGTAAATTATTGATCAGTTCCTCGTGAAAGATCCCCCAAAGAATGAGAAGAATCTGGAAGATGATCTGAAAATGAAAATAAATATGTAATACATTTTTTTAAATGTTACTAATGAGACTATCGACGGAATTTCAATTGACCATCTTTTTATCCAGTTACACTCGGTACCCATTCCCTTCACCACAATAGAAAATATCAAGTTTTTAGAAGAAAAAACTATGATATCTCCATAATTTTTTCTTTGGGAAAAAAAACCTTGTTAATCTCGCCTATCATCATTTGTAAATAAAATTTCAAATGAAATTTTGTGAACACTTCTTAAAATAACTGAACATCTCTGGGAGAGAGGGGCGGGGGAGAATGACATTGCCATTTTGAAAGTTTTGAAAAAAGTTTCAGAAATACGAAACTGTAAAAGGTAAATTTAAAGTTTGAAAAGTAGTTAAAACAATTAAATGCTTTATACAACTCGTTTGATTTCAATACTTGTACTTTAAAGCCATGGAGTCGAACACGTTCTAATATTATTTTAAACAAATTTGCACAGAAATACTCAGGACTAAGCATGCTCTCCACAGAAATACCCAGGACTAGGCATGTTCTCCACAGAAATACCCAGGACTAAGCATGTTCGTCCCTCCACAGAAATACCCAGGACTACTCCACAGAAATACCCAGGACTAGGCATGTTCGTCCCTCCACAGAAATACCCAGGACTAGGCATGTTCGTCCCTCCACAGAAATACCCAGGACTAGGCATGTTCGTCCCTCCACAGAAATACCCAGGACTAGGCATGTTCGTCCCTCCGCAGAAATACCCAGGACTGGGCATGTTCGTCCCACCGCAGAAATACCCAGGACTAGACATGTTAGTCCATCCACAGAAATACCCAGGACTAGGCATGTTCGTCCATCCACAGAAATACCAAGGACTGGGCATGTTCGTCCCTCCGCAGAAATACCCAGGACTAGACATGTTCGTCCATCCACAGAAATACCCAGGACTAGACATGTTCGTCCATCCACAGAAATACCCAGGACTAGGCATGTTCGTCCCTCCGCAGAAATACCCAGGACTAGGCATGTTCGTCCCTCCACAGAAATACCCAGGACTAGGCATGTTCGTCCCTCCGTAGAAATACCCAGGACTAGGCATGTTCGTCCCTCCACAGAAATACCCAGGACTAAACATGTTCGTCCCTCCACAGAAATACCCCGGACTGGGCATGTTCGTCCCTCCACAGAAATACCCAGGACTAGGCATGTTCATCTCACCAACAACAAGTGTTGGAAAATTAACCAAACTAGCCGTTCATGAAAAAAAGAATGGAAAATAATATGCGTTTTGATGTTTTTCATTTTATCTTCTATAGCTAAGAACCAACGACTACCGAAAAAATTGTAACGGTTCGTTATTATAACAAACTGGTGAGAAACTGCTTGAAAAATGTCTGAACGTGACCAGTCCTCGTAATACTCGTGTTAACTATCATCAGGAGATACAGTGTAAACCAGAAAACTGTGGAAGAGGAAGACCATTTTTAAGGTAAACAGTGTATTTATGGTTTTACTAGTAACTGATCTCATCCCTTATTAACTAAAATATGTCTGTTTACACTGCACAACTGCTGTCTCTCATGTTAATTGGACTATTTAAAGATTTAACTTGAATCTTAAAGTCGTCTTCCTGATCCAAAGTGTTCTGGTTATCACTGTAAAAATATTAACCTGGTAGAATCAGTTCTGAGGTCGTATAGAGAAGATCGAACCGACCATTGTATCAATATCCTAAAATTCAAATAAATTTTTATCAAGTTTAATCAAATATTTCTAGTTAAGATCTGTTAAAGTATTTTGCTAACAATCTTTTTAAATTCAAATTTTGAATAAGAATTGATTATGTGTGTTCACACTGCAGAAATATTTATTTGGAGATTTCGCTTTATAATTCTCTTCTCAAATTGTAACAGGATGTTCATAGTTTCAAAGGTTTCGGAATTTGATTTATACAAACATAATTTTAGAGTCCCTTTTAGCAGCGAAGTTGAAGCTACAGTGTTACCCACAAAGATTGAGATCCGTTTAATGTATATTTTTTATAGTTAAAATTGATGGTTAAATGTAGCACTTTACTTAAATATTGTGTCGGACAAGTCGTCTTAGTCTCCGCCACAATGTCTGCATTTTAGTTCTCTCACCGTCAGCTGATACTAATAGTTATGATAGAAACAAGACTGACAAAAAATCCTTCAGTCGTCTCTGAAATCTCATCCTTTGAGGGTAACCCTGTATTTACCTGGCAAAGCAGGACATACACAGAAGAAGAGTAATAGCCAGGAGGATATAGGATACAAGACTCATCAGGATACTCGACCAATGAATCTAGAATAGGAGGATATTTAGGCTACTAGAAGACTAATAAATAAAGTATAGAAGTAAATATTAAAAACTAGACTCATTAATAAACTAGACCAATGAATCTAGAAAAATTGTATATTTTACTAGATTAGAGAATACGTCACATTAATCTCCCTAAAAGTTCAATTAGATTTCGCAAACTATGAAGTCGGTTCAGCTAAATGATTATATAAAGTACTTTCCTAAAGGCATTTTCCCAAGTGGCCACTACCCAAATGTGCAATTTCCCAAGCGGCAACTTATAAATATTTATAATCGAAAAATCAGCCACCTAGCCCATCCTAGACGCAGCGCCTGGCCTGCATTGCAGCCTGAGGCGCCTCAGAAAGCCTAACCAAATCTATGGGAAGTTTCCGCTTGGGAAATTATACATTTGGGAAGTCGCCCTTGGAAAATTTCAAACTTGGATTCTAGAAAATATCACGACATTTGCAAAGATATATGGATCACAGTTTAAGGCGAAGGCTTAATACCTTTCTATTTCTTTTCTTTGTAACCAACTAACCTTATAGCAGGATTCGTCTGGGTTGGGGATTTGGTTGTCTCCACAGTTAGGTAGTCCGTTGCACGCCAGACTAAAGGACATACAAAGACGACCCGTAGTCTCACGAAACGAAGGTGAAGTGGGGCATTCAAACTCAGTATCTGGAATAAAATGAAAATGTTCCGCGGCAATAAGAATTGATTATTATTGATATATCCGACAAATTATGTAAGAATTTTAAAAGTTGTGAAGAGAAAATGTGGATGACCGTCATCTTTGCTCTTGTGCGTCATCATGTTATTATAAAATATGTTTAACAATAGGGTTAATTTTTAAAGATACAAATCAGTTACAAAATAAAAAATTCTTTGCAAGGTGTAATTGAAAAAGAGCTTGACAACATCTATTATTATTCAGCTGTATTTTGGTTACCCCTGTAGAGCAGAAAACACATTTTCTGAACAGAATATAAAATGAAGTTGCAAGAAAGGAAAATGTGTTAAATCTGCAATGAGCCAAAAATTGCAAATATAAGATTACAGAATTTATAAAAAGGATCATCTGTGAAGGGGATTTTAGTCATATATAAAATTAATAACTAGCTGAAGTGCCTGGCATTGCTCGTGAAATTTGAAGAAGTAAAAAATCGATTAAAAAGTATACATATATATCTTTTTGAAAAAAAAAGTTTGATGCAAAAATTTAAAGACATTTCAAAATAATAATTCTTCTTTTCAACAAAGCTTAATTTTGTTTTCACAACTAGAATCACAGTAAGAAACCCTTAATGTTTGTCAATTTACGTTAAATTTGTCTTTTTTTCTTATAAGTCTATAAGTTAATACATTTTAATTTTATAAAAAATCATGCTTTTACGTCTCGCAAAATAAACATTTTTAGTTTATTATTAATTAGTTTTCTTTATTTGGAAAAGCTTTAAAGTTGAAAATATTTTATAATGATAAATAAATCAACTAAATAATAAATAACCTAAATAATAAATCACCTAAATAATAAATCAACTAAAAAATAAATCAACTAAAAAATAAATCACCTAAAAAACAAATCAACTTAAAAAATAGATCATCTAAATAATAGATCACCTAACTAATAAATCACCTAAATAATAAATCACCTAAATAATAAATCTACTAAAAAATAAATCTACTAAATAATAAAGAACCTAAAAAATAAATCACCTAAATAATAAATCACCTAAATAATAAATCAATTAAATAGTAAATCACCTAAAAGACAAATCACCTAAATAATAAATCAACTAAAAAATAAATTACCTACAAATAAATCACCTAAATAATAAATTACTTAAAAATAGATCACCTAAATAATAGATCACCTAACTAATAAATCACCTAAATAATAAATTAACTAAAAAATAAATCAACTAAATAATAAATAACCTAAATAATAAATCACCTAAATAATAAATCAACTAAAAAATAAATCAACTAAAAAATAAATCACCTAAATAATAAATCAACAAAAAAAATAATTAACTAAAAATTAAATCACCAAAATAATAATTCACCTAAATTAATAATCAACTAAAAAATAAATCACCAAAAAAATAAATCATCTAAATAATAAATCACCTAACTAATAAATCACCTAAATAATAGATTAACTGAAAAATAAATCATCTAAATAATAAATCACCTAAATAATAAATAACCTAAATAATAAATCACCTAAAAAATAAATCACCTAAATAATAGATCACCTAACTAATAAATCACCTAAATAATAAATTAACTAAAAAATAAATCAACTAAATAATAAATCACCTAAATAATAAATCACCTAAAAAATAAATTACATAAATAATAAATCACCTAAATAATAAATCACCAAAAAAATAAACCACCTAAACAATAAATCACCTAGAAATAAATCACCTAAAAAAAAAATTACCAAAATAATAAATCACCTAAATAATAAATAGCCTAAGTAATAAATCACCTAAATTATAAATCACCGCAATAATAAATCACCAAAATAATAAATCACCTAAATAATAAATCACCTAAAAAATAAATCAACTAAATAATAGATCACCTAACAAATAAATCACCTAAATAATAAATTAACTAAAAAATAAATCAACTAAATAATAAATAACCTAAATAATAAATCACCTAAATAATAAATCAACTAAAAAAAAAATCAACTAAAAAATAAATCACCTAAATAATAAATCAACAAAAAAATTAATCAACTAAAAAATAAATCACCTTAAAAACAAATCACCTAAAAAATAAATCAACTAAATAATAAATAACCTAAATAATAAATCACCTAAATAATAAATCAACTAAAAAATAAATCAACTAAAAAATAAATCACCTAAATAATAAATCAACTAAAAAATAAATCAACTAAAAAATAAATCACCTAAATAATAAATCACCTAAAAAACAAATCACCTAAAAAATAAATCAACTAAATAATAAATCATCTAAAAAATAAATCATCTAAATAATAGATCACCTAACTATTAAATCACTTAAATAATAAATCACCTAAATAATAAATCTACTAAAAAATAAATCTACTAAATAATAAATAACCTAAAAAATAAATCACCTGAATAATAAATCAACTAAATAATAAATCACCTAAAAGATAAATCACCTAAATAATAAATCAGCTAAAAAATAAATTACCTAAAAAATAAATCACCTAAATAATAAATCACCTAAATATTAAATCACCTAACTAATAAATCACCTAAATAATAAATCACCTAAATAATAAATCACCTAAATAATAAATCACCTAAATAATAAATCACCTAAAAAATAAATCACCTAAATAATAAATCACCTAAAGAATAAATCACCTAAATAATAAATCACCTAAATAATAAATCACCTAAATAATAAATCACCTAAATAATAAATCACCTGTGCAACTCTCCCCATTATTAAGAAGTTTGTAACTGGTGAATACTAGATAGAGTCGGGAACTTAAATTCCACCGTCGAAGCCGGACCTGAGAGAGTCAAATTAAAAACTTCATGCCGCGCTTCATATTAAAGTACCGTGACGACTTCTGGGCAACTAGAATATGTGTATACAACGATCCAACACCAATGCTAATTTTCGTCAATTTTAAAGACTGCAGGGTCGACTAGAGTGTCTCAGCAACTAGGCATTTGAATTTAATTACTCAATTATACTCTGTGTAGCCATATAAATGTATAAATGTATAACATTAAGAACTAAAAAGCTTTTTAACTTGAGATTTAACATTTTTCATCAAATTTTCATTGGAGCTTGCAACTTTTGAATCTTTTGATTTCTGCCCAAAACCCCCCATTCCCTCAAACTTGCTTAATCCCTCCCCTAACTGCCTCCTCCTCAATGTAGNATGCTTATAATATGATACATTTAAAATCTTGCAGGAAAACATTCTTGCAAGTTGCGCTATGAAAACCTTAAATCTTATGGGAAAACATGCTTACAATATGAAAAATCTAAAATCTTACGGGAAAACAATAATCCTGATATGAAAATCTAAAATCTTACGGTAAAACATGTTTACAATATGAAAAATCAAAAATCTTACGGGAAACCATAATTCCGATATAAAAATCTAAAATCTTACGTGAAAACATGCTTACAATATGAAAAATCTAAAATCTTATGAGAAAACATGCTTACAATATGAAAAATCTAAAATCTTCCGGGAAAACATGCTTCCGATATAAAAATCTAAAATCTTACGTGAAAACATGCTTACAATATGAAAAATCTAAAACCTTACGGGAAAACATGCTTACAATATGAAAAATCAAAAGTCTTACGGGAAACCATGCTTCCGATATAAAAATCTAAAATCTTACGTGAAAACGTGCTTAAGATGTGAAAATCTAAAATCTTAAAGGAAAACATGCTTACAATATAAAAAATCTAAAAGCTTACGGGAAAACATGCTGTTCGTGAACATAATGTCTGGCTCTGTGTCTGTTGTCAATAGTCTCAAATCCTAAAAATAGATTATTAATGAAAAAACAATATCTTGTTATGTTTAGGAATACATTTATAATTACAAATATAATTAAGTATTATACTATGATATATATTTATAAAAAGGTTAGTCATAACAATAAAAGCAAAAAGATGATAAGGTTAGTGATTAAAAAAATAATAATAATTATATAAGAATTATACTTAACCTAACTAACCTGATGAACATAATCCCCCTGTCAGCTAACCACTCAGGAGAAATAATCAGTAAAGGTGAATAACCTAATCCCCCTGTCAGCTAACCACTCAGGAGAAATAATCAGTAAAGGAAACTAACCTAATCCCCCTGTAAGCTAACCACTCAGGAGAAATAATCAGTAAAGGTGAATAACCTAATCCCCCTGCCAGCTAACCACTCAGGAGAAATAATCAGTAAAGGAAACTAACCTAATCCCCCTGTCAGCTAACCACTCAGGAGAAATAATCAGTAAAGGTGAATAACCTAATCCCCCTGTCAGCTAACCACTCAGGAGAAATAATCAGTAAAGGTGAATAACCTAATCCCCCTGTCAGCTAACCACTCAGGAGAAATAAATAAGTAAAGGAAACTAACCTAATCCCCTGTCAGCTAACCACTCAGGAGAAATAAATAAGTAAAGGAAACTAACCTAACCCCCCTGTAAGCTAACCTCTCATGAGAAATAATCAGTAAAGGAAACTAACCTAATCCCCTGTCAGCTAACCACTCAGGAGAAATAAATAAGTAAAGGAAACTAACCTAACCCCCCTGTAAGCTAACCTCTCATGAGAAATAATCAGTAAAGGAAACTAACCTAATCCCCCTGTAAGCTAACCACTCATGAGAAATAAATAAGTAAAGGTGAATAACCTAATCCCCCTGTCATCTGACCACTCAGGAGAAATAAATAAGTAAAGATGACTAACCTAATCTCCCTGTCATCTGAACACTCATGAGAAATAATCAGTAAAGATGACTAACCTAATCCCCTTGTCAGCTGACCACTCAGGAGAAATTAATAAGTAAAGGTGACTAACCTAATCCTCATGTAAGCTGACCACTCAGGAGAAATAAATAAGTAAAGGTGAATAACCTAATCCCATTGTAAGCGGACCGCTCAGGAGAAATAAATAAGATAAATAAGTAAAGGTGACTAACCTAATCCCCCTGTCAGCTGACCGCTCAGGAGAAATAAATAAGTAAAGGAAACTAACCTAATCCCCTTGTAAGCTGACCGCTGAGGAGAAATAAATAAGTATAGGTGACTAACCTAATCCTCCTGTAAGTTGACCACTCAGGAGAAATAAATAAGTAAAGGTGACTAACCTAATCCTCCTGTAAGCTGACCACTCAGGAGAAATAATAAGTAAAGGTGACTAACCTAATCCCCCTGTAAGCTGACCACTCAGGAGAAATGTTGGATTATTTGTCCAAATTCTATTTGTCCCATAGTTCGCTTCCTGTGTCACAGATACAGTCTTCTGCCCGAAGTAACTGTTAGTTATAACCTACAAGTATACGGGGATATAAAATAAACATATGTTCCCGTTCAGTCGGGGCATAATGGAATTTAGAGTTGCATGTCTGAAATGTTTTGTCTGACAAAGATTAATTAACTAATGTTTTTTGTTTTGTTTATCAGATTAAAGATTCAAGGGGATCAATGTAAATCGGGCGTGCTCCTTTTTTAATGAAGAGTCAATTAGAATTACGAAAACAGTCCCTTTAATTCTTTACCTGAACACTCTCTGTTCTAGAATCAGTAAAGTTGAGTTCAAGAATGACCAAGGACAAAGCTTCCATTTCAAGCATTTCTTTGTCTCCATCTTGTCTGAGAACCTGGACATTTTGTTTTTTAAATATTGGAGACTTAGCGTTGCCCAAGATAGTCATTGTCAGTCCCACCGTTACCCCGCACCTTGTCGATGTTTGCTATTATTTCTAGCAAAAAGTGGACCCACTCAACTTAGAATCTCAAAACCAAGTTTAGTACATTCCCGTGGGTATTCAAATCGGTCCAGGGGACCCTGAGTAATGATTGGACAAACGAACACACAGACAAACAGAGAACGTATCTTTATAATTAGAAACTTTTAAGAAATCTTCTTCAAGCATAAAACTACGACGTAGCGATGAAAAGCTAAAAAATTAAAAATTAAATTTTTTTCAAATTTGAAATTTATTTTTTCAAAAAAATCAATTTTTTTCTTCTCAAATTCGATTTTTTTTAATTCCACGGACAACGCCGGACACTTGTTCTTGTAACGTTAAACAGACTAATAAATGATCTATCAATTATATCTATTAAAATTATTTAAAAAATTCTAAAATAATAATTAGAGAAAACCTAAGTTACAATTAGGTTTCTCTGGGATATCTTCGTTTTCAGATTGGTTGTGCATTTGCTGAATATGATCTGTTTAAAAATTGTGAACAAAATTGTAAATAAATGAATTTTCGTATAAACTTGACTCAGTTTTATATCAACTTCTCAAGACAGGAACATCAGATATACTTTTATGGGTCGCGATGAAGAGCTAAAGTGATTAGCTTTCAGCCTATACCTCCTTCCATTTTTTCTTTTCAGACCCTTTAAAAACCTTAATTTGAATTGAAAATTATTTAATTTTCAGATTTTGTCGTTTTTTGAAAGAAAACACTTAAGAAAATAGACACTTTTCAAAAATAAAAACATGGATAATATAATTCATACGTGATCTGACAAAGCTTTTAAGGGTACCGTTGGAATCGTACATGGAAACAGAGGTTCACTTAAAATAATGTTTTCAGTCCCTTTATGGATATATGTCCACCTACCGTTTGAATCTCTATGTCACAGTCCAAGGTTTTGCTTGTGATGTTGATATTCTGTCTTTTCAGGTTTGATCCCTCATCCAGTCTTAACAATTTATTTTTAAAACCAAAATAAAATATGACAAGGTTTTGGCAGTTTCACTCCTCTTCATATTTATATTATGATTTAGCATATAGGGGAAAAAAATTGAAAAAAATGGCGAGCTATAATAGCTATTTATACCCTATNCCCCCACCGTTTATTTCTTATTATGATACAAACCTATAGCATTTGATACATATTCAGAAAGACTTTGGGCTCTACTTTAATAATCTGCAAAAAAATCATAAATATCAAAAAAAAAAAATGCGGCTTGAGAAAAAAAAATTTGGTCCTACTAATGATTTTTTATCTATTTTTTTTGCGAATTCTTAAAAGTTAGGCGCAGGTATAAGTGCCATAAGCTGGATCAGTGGAAAAGCAAAAATCTTCTTAGATATAGATTGTAGATATGTTCCGAGGTGATAGATTATAGAGATAATTAAATAAGTAAAAATTATGATATTTTAATATTTGAAAAAGATTCATTACGGCAATTACAGAATTTTCAAATATTGGTAGATTTAAACTATTTACATTTACTTTCCAGGGAAGGATATTTTTAACTAGGGTTTACAAGACTGATTTTGCCAACAAAGCATCCAGCGCGTAGCGAGAGATGCTTGTAAGGCAACAATGGTAGAGGGAATGGCCGTGGATAATTTAAAAAATTTGATATCCAAAAAAAGGAGACAATTTTATAAAATTTACAATTTGTTAAAAAAGTCTCGTAGAGTAGTACTGAATTGTCCCAAAGTATAGTTAAGTAACTTATTATCCCGCTGTTGTGAGAATCATGGGTGGGTAATTTAAGTGAAAATTGGCGGAAAACTTATTAATTTTAATTTTCAAAATTCTAGGAAAAAATACTGTAGTGTTTAAACTACGGCGAGCTCCTTAAAACTTTAGAATAAGAATACGGCTGAATAATTTCAAATAGTCTAATTTACATTAAACACAGCGACTGACAGTGTGCACCGACCCATTTTACTTAATAAATTGATTTTTAAGCCATAAAAAACATTATATTGCTTTAATGTCGTCTTCCTATTCCAGAGTTTTATGGATCCTCCTGTATATATACCTGAGGTTGATTGCCGGAGTACTAACGTCCAAAAACATTGGAAATTTTCCGTCCCGGCCACATACTGCTGTAATATCTTTAAAGGTGTCTGGCATAAACCTAAAATAAAAATATGTTTTTAAAAACATGAAATTTTAAATTTAAAACCAATACAAAGCTTTTTACTTGAATATGCAAGTCACTTTAACACCTAATAATTTGTAATATGGTGTAAGTTGTAAATTATTTTTTTTTCTTATTAAGAACTCAAACAAAGGATTAAGACTCAAATACTTTATTTTATATTTTTTGTCACATTTTTTTTAATCACATACTTACTTACTAACTTTACTGCAAATTATGACTTTTATGAGGTTTTTTTTCTTATAAATGTTAAATTAAGAACCCGATAATTCTATATTAAGGAAATTATCATATAAATGAGTAAATATAGATCAGAACTAAAAAAGGAAATAATTTATTCAAATCTTGTGTGAAGGATGATGGACAAAATATAATTATTAGATGATAATAATTGCTCAGTTCCGGAAAATTAGTTGTTTAAACTCCAGTGAAAACTCTGAAATAGTCTCAAGTTGTGACTTTAATTAGTTTAATCATGGGAGACAGCAATTGTGCAGTGTAAACAGACCAATTTCACTTGATTAGTGATTTGGAAGTGTCTAGTAAAACCATTTGCCTCAAACACCATCAAATACACTTAAGAATTACTGTAAGGTCGTCTTCCTTTTTCAGAGTTTTCTGTTTATCACAGTATAAAAGCCACGAATAATACAGGTTGTCACAATAAACACGGGAATTCAGTGACGATTTTAATATCGTCTTTGTAAATGATATTTTGATTTAGGATGATGATGCCTACGAGAAAAGCTGTAATCAGTCTGCTAAAGCTAAGAATGTGTTTGATTATGTTTTGATTACTTTACTGTTGTACTTAGTAAAATGAGAAATTCGTGTGACGTGTATACACTTACAAACACAGTACAGTTAACTGTTACTCTTCAGTGTTTATCTTTCAAGAATGTTACAATACATCAAACATCGTTTTGAAGAATTACAAAACAGCCTTATACCATTTACATTGAATATACTTTACAGAAGTAACTTTATTTTGATTATTGAAATTAGGTAAAACAAGGCTAATTCTTATAAAGACGATACATTCGTCTCTTAATTCCCATATGTTTATTGGGACACCCTGTACAATACTAAAAAATATGTTTTTAATATCATATTTCCTACCTCAGTCCTGACGTAAAATGGATGATAAGGAGGAAAAGTGAACTATAAGGACTCTGTCTCATTTTTATCTAAAATCTCATTTTCCTGAAAATAAGAAATTTTATGATTTCCGTTATCAAATCTTGATAGTCAGTGAGCCTTCACTTTCGAATACCTGTGTTAACCTGTGCCCTTTTACATAAATTTATCAGTTACAGACGAAAATTATTTCTCATTTTTTTGGTTATCACCGTGTTAGGTGCCGTCATAGATTAATAACAATGCATACAGAACACTAGATGTCGTCTTTTCAGGATTTAGGGGCTTTTCGTTCACAATAACCCTCAGACAAAAGCCCAAAGGAGTTATCGTGAACGAAAAGCAATTAAATCTTGAAAAGATGATATCTAAAGTGTGGATGCAGTAAATTTTGTTTGATTTGTTTAGCTTCCGAATGGCAGATCAACCCATTTATGAATTTATTCCTAAAAAGTCCGAAAATTCTTGATACAGGGTTAAATGAAAACTATAACAAAGCCATTTATTCTGTGACTCAAGTTCTCTGCGGTTTCTTATATTATACATAAATAGATGTAGGAAAATTAATCAGCTGAAATGTTCAGCTTAACCTTCAAATAATATCCCCGTATTGAATTCGTCTTAGAGATAAAATTCGCAATTTTTTCAACCATATGTAGTCACCAAATGTGTACACTTTTCACGGATTTATAACTCTGTTTTATTTCGCGGATTTTTGAGTGGTTTGGTTTGTATTTTCCTGTAATGGTTTAGTATGTATCCCCCTAACCTAATCCCCCTGTAAGCTAACCACTCAGGAGAAATAATCAGTAAAGGTAACTAACCTAATCCCCCTGTCAGCTAACCACTCAGGAGAAATAATCAGTAAAGGTGAATAACCTAATCCCCCTCCCACTCCTATTTACCTGTATAGAAGCTGGTGTATCAAACTTTGAGAATATTCGATCAGGTCTAAAAAGGAAGAAAAAAAAATTATTAATTTAAACAATTAAAAGTCAAGAATCGATTAAATTTTCAAATGGCGGGTTGCTTCTAATTAATACAACAGTTCCTTTAAATGCATTATGGGGCCTGAAGGCTGTCTGTAGAACTACAGTCGTCGTTGCATATGTAATTACAATGAAGACTACTTTCAATTTCAATTTTGATTTCAATATTAGCATTGATACATACAAATATGAAAACTAAGAGAAACTGTCATTTAACAGATTCTTTTTGTATACCCTTTAAATTTGCAATTTGAAAAAAGTTTGCTAAAAATCAAAACATAAATTGAAAAGTCGTCTTCATTGTTTTGATATAAACGCAGATCACTGGAGATACAAATTAATCTCACTTTTTCAAAATTTCATGCTCCTACTAGAAAATCTGAAAAGCCTTAATCTTGAAGAAGTTTGTGTGTTTAGAGACAAAGAAAGCAAAACTCTTTATAAAAAGAACAAAGCAAAGATTATTTATTTTGATTAAAAAGGTTTGTTTACTCTGTCGAACAGATTTGATAAAAATAGAAAAAAATAAAAAAAAATATAATAAAAGCAGTAATTTTCAAAATTGACAAAATTTCTATGTTGGCGTTGAGGTTTCCTGAATTTCTTGCTAGTTGAAAATCTGTGAGCATTTTTTGATGCAAAATATGAGCATTGTTTGATGCAAAATATGAGCATTGTTTGATACAAAATATGAGCAGTGTTTGATGCAAAATATGAGCATTGTTTGATAGAAAATATGAGCATTGTTTAATAGAAAATATGAGCATTTTTTGATACAAAATATGAGCATTGTTTGATACAAAATATGAGCATTGTTTTATGCAAAATATGATCATTTGAAAATATTTTAGTTTATAAGCGCAAAGTTTTGATTTATAATAAGAGAAAACTTTTCTTTTATATTTGGCTACATACTTCCAAGAATTGTATATTTAAAAACTAAAATCTTGCAGTAAAGAAACGTAGTTTTGAATTCTTAAAAACCTCATATCTCTGATATTATCAAGGTAAATATAATCCTAAGGAAAACTGGCTGCTAGCCTGATATATTATAAAAAATCTAAAATATTTCTCTAATCGATAAGCTAATTTTTTTTTGTATGAAAAAGCTAGAATCCTACCTGAAAACATGCTTATAATATGATACATTTAAAATCTTGCAGGAAAACATTCTTGCAAGTTGCGCTATGAAAACCTTAAATCTTATGGGAAAACATGCTTACAATATGAAAAATCTAAAATCTTACGGGAAAACAATAATCCTGATATGAAAATCTAAAATCTTACGGTAAAACATGTTTACAATATGAAAAATCAAAAATCTTACGGGAAACCATAATTCCGATATAAAAATCTAAAATCTTACGTGAAAACATGCTTACAATATGAAAAATCTAAAAAAAATCATATTACCATGAGAGGGGCAGTCCATATGAAATCAGCCACCCCCTAGTAGGCACCATCTTCGATTATTTTTTCAAACTTTGAACATTAAAAGATCTACGTGATCGAGGCATTACATAATCAGTAATTTTTAGACTCTGGTGACCTCCATGCGTAATTTTTAGACTCTGGTGACCTCCGTGTGCGGAGCACTGAGGTCATGAAGTTTTGACCAGCTTGCTCTTTTCAAATTACCATAACATTTTAGCTTTTTGAGATATTGACCTTATTGTAACGTCATTAAATATATAATAAATAAACCTTTATTTGTTTGTTATTAAAATAATTGATAAAAATAGTTTTAGCTGTTGATATTTTCAAATTTTCAATAAAAAGACATCTTTTACTAGACTTCGATTTATTTTTTATTTTTGAATTATTAACATTGTAGTTATGAAATACAAAGATTACTTAGCAGTTAGCATACAGTATCAAAATTATTGTTTCAAAATGTGTTTGTATAAAAACAATTATGCATTAAAAAAGCACAAAATACGACCACAAACACAGACATAACTATTAAATCAATCAATTCTCAATCTCGAAATTTTAATAGTGTTTCCCAACATATTAAGGAACTTTATCTATGAATAAAATGAATATTATTTATTCTTTATTTAAATTGAGCAAGCTATTTATCTCCGTTGGTTAGGCAGAAATCACCAAAAACCAGCGAATCACGCTCACAAACCAATAATTTCCTAAGCATTAAATTTTTAGACAGTATTCTCAACATATGAAAAGTAATTTATGTGAATTTTAAGAAGTCGAAGTATTGAATTTTTTGATTTTGAGACACATGCTTTCATTTGAAAAGATCAACTGTTAAAGTTAATTTTATAGATTAATTTTTTATTCTAACAAATAAAGCCTTATTTATTGCCTATTTAATGACGTTACAATTAGGTCGATATCTCAAAATGCAAAATAGTAATTTGAAAAAAATTAACCTCTTTGAAGAGGTCAAAACTTGACCTTAGTGCTCCACACATGGAGGTCTACAAAGTCTAAAAATTACTGATTATGGAATATCTCAGATAGGTCTTTTAATATTCAAAGATTGAAAAAAAATTAAAATGGTGCCTACTGACAAATGTCAATTATTAGTAATTCTCTGTTTCATGGTAATTTAGATGTTTTTTAAATTTTTCAAATCTGATTTGAAGCATATGTAACAATTTTCAAAATATATGGACGGATTAGATTCTGAGGTTAAATGTTGTGTTATATAATTTTGTTTCTGAACATGTCCAGTATAAATCATAACATATCATAATTCTTATCCATCCTAACCTATACAGTTGGGGCTCTGAAACTAAATACAGTTGGGGTTCTGAAGCTTTATACAGTTGGGGTTCTGAAACTATATACTATTGTTAACCATTAATTTTAAAACCTCTATAAAATGTCGTCTTCAACTCGAATCTCCTGTCGGAGACAGCCAAACCAAACTTTCAGCCCGCAATTCCCTTGTTCTCCTCCGACGGAGTTTAAAATATTTTCGTTGTTGTGAAATCATTAAAGTTAAGCAAAATATTTTCA